TCGAATTTAGCAACTATTTTTTTATTCAGGCCTCCCTCCAACGGGCTCTTGTGTTGTCCCAATTATAGGAGGAGGATTCGAACATTACAGGGGGTGTAACGAAATTATCCGGACACCTTTCTTCCCGCTGTAATTAAAAAGCAAAACAATCTGGTACTTTTTCTTTTAACTGAGCTTGTAGCCACCTTTCATAAAAACACAGTGGTGAACGTTCTGGAGCATTTCAGCCAATGAATTCTCCAGCACACTGGCTTTGATGCGGACCAACGCCGTCTAAACCTGTGCCTGCGGTTGAGCAGTGCTTATGGCGGGTGGCTCTTCATACACCTCCTGCTGAACAAGAGCCCACAGGTTTTCGATTGAATTGGGATCGCGAGTCGCGACTTTTTCCAAGTCCGATAAGCGTTAGCCCAGAATGATTGAAGGTTCTATCGGCATCATTTCCCGTTCTTTTAGGGACTTTTAAGTAGCGCGCCGCCCCGCATGAAGACAGCGTGGCTTGAATCAGGCATCAGTGCGCGTTCAGAAATCGTGCCCTCCTATGCCGTCTGGTTGAGCGCCTCCAATCATGCTCCACCACCCATGGGTGGAGAATGTTTGAAAAAGTTACCCCGGCCGGCGACCGATAGTCGCGGGAAGACGATATACTCACGTTGTTCTCAACGGTCATCATCAAACCCCTATTCTGACGCATGGAATAGGATGAAGGATGAGCGTTGTATCCGACACCGTATTATTCATAACATTTTTGGAATGATCGAAAAGGCAATTTCCTTTTAAATTATTATTTCTTTTTACTTAAACTTCCAATTTCACACCGAACCCAAACCAAACCATATGCCATTTTGAGTACCTAAATGTTGCGTTTTCAGCTTTTTATTGTGTCTCAAAATAGCTACAAAAAGACAACTCACCATAGTAGAAGCTTTACAGAGAAATTGACAGATCGAACCAAGCAAAGCACTAAAATAGGTCACTGACATCCACGGGCGTAGCCTTTTTCAATGTTGGACGGCTCTTATAATGCAAACAGGGAGTCGATCCAGGAATATCGACCGGTCCCGGTCTCGTAGCTCAGTTGCTAGAGCGTTGGATTCCGCGTGGCGAGAGCACGCGGCCCGGTTACAACAGTCCGAGTTCGAAGCATGATGGCCGCTCGGTGTTTATGAGCACCCTGACGGGTACGCTCATAAACGGGTGTGGTTGCGGTTGGTGGCAGGTCAGTTGAAGGCAATGAGGTCAAGCAGTAGTTTTGAAAAAGTGCGCCGAAGGCGCGCCAAAATTTCGAAACTGAACAGGATGTGAGAGCAATCTTGGCATTGGCGACCATACGCGGGTCTTAGGGTTGGAGATTATGGCAAGTTAAGTAAATGGTAAATACCTACCTGATTTGCAATATTACGCCCATGGAAGTCAACATTCGAAGAGCGTGAGTTTTCTTTTCTCGTATGGAGACAGCTTGTAGGATTTACAAGAGTAGAAAAGTTACCCCGGCCGCGCCGGGGTAGGCTGAAAGTTACCCCGGCCACGGCCGGGGTGGCCGGGGCAGGTTCTCCACCCATGCCACCACCTTTCCTGGAAAAGATCCACCCTTGCCTATGGGGCAAAATATAAGGGACAAAAACACAAAACAAGACAGATAAAAACAAAGCAAAATTAACTCATTACCTAATGAAATTCAGGCTGGAGCAAAAACATAGGGAATAGGTATCTATGTCAAATTAGAATGAAAGATTAAAATCAACCTGACCAGGCCTTACGGTCTGACCTGGTCCTAACCACCTTACTTCGCCTTAACCACCTTCAACCTAGCCTACCACAACACTGCAGAGGTACCTTCCCGGAAAAATGACGCCCAGGGAGGTGACTGTCCAACTTATTGGAATACTACCATGATTGCTTGTCAAAATGTGTGTCATCATGCTATTGTTTGACAAGTGATGTATAATAAATGTGATATTAAATAATTATCTCCTGACTGTTGACTGTTGAGTGGTCAAAATATTCAAATAATCAGGGTACAATGCTGTGCATAGTGCACACTAATCATGTTGTTTTTGTGTAGGCCCTCTGCACATTGTTGTGTGCACTGCTATGTGCACAAAAAAGTGACTGGTGCACAAAAAAATGACTGGTGGTACATGACAAAACAAAAGGTTGTGCAACTGTGAAGTTCATGCCCTTGGTCAAGCTGGTGCCAAATGCCTATAGCTATAGCAGGATCAGTGAGGGTTGTAGACATGCTAATACATTGTGCAATGTGCATTGAAGATATTGGCACAAAGTTCATCCGTAATTACTATGCTTAACACCTAATGTAGGAAGCGACATAAATGCCCAGATGATAAAACTCTCTGGTCAACATCACACAAATTTATTGACATACTTTGCAGGTACATATTTACATTCATGGCAAATAGGTACTTTCGATTTGATTCAGAAACTAGTTGCTAGTAAGCTTGCATTTTTGTAGGTACAACAACGACCATATGTTAAATCATAAAAAACCTTCTCATGGCATTCATCACATACCTTTTTACCGAACAAGTAGGTACCTAGCTAGGTACCATACAATGATTCTAAAAAACTTTCCGCAATCCATCTATGTCTCAACTCACAACTGACACAATGAATTTGAAATACCCTAACAAAACCTATTAACTGTACATAAGAAGAATGCAATACTACAAGAACTATGAATTTCTGAAGTTATTCTCACATGCTGGAATGTTGAAACTCTACTTTTGTCGTCCATTTCCACGTTTGATTGAGCCATCATATCAAACTGATTTCGTTCTTCAGTCACAAGCTTTCGCACAAATCTCAATCTTGAATTTTTACGCATCATCTTGAACCATGCTCCAGTCTTTCCAACAAGGTACAAGGTAACATTGAAGCAATTTTGATGTTACCTATAACAGCTTCAGATCATGATAGGCTTGAGGTTTGTTACACCATTTGCCAGACAAATCTCTACAAAATGTGTATCAATTCCCAAACTAAGTAATTGATCATATCAGTATTATGTTTATATAAAGAAACTCAAATAATCCATAAATTGTTATTGAAACACTCCCACTTCAAGAATTCACAGCAAATAACAGTACAAGTACAGAAGCAAACAAATATTGCGCCAGATTTCGTATGAAACGCGCCATCGTCCTGAAGTTTCTACCACAGACGGTAGTTCAACCGCAGCCGTAGTGTGAAAACCCCTGCCCACCTTACCCCACGGCGGAGCTCGGTTGCAATTTGTAAATACGCGCCCCGCACAGACAGCTGAAGGAGTGGCGCACTGTGGCCCCGCAGCGCTGCGCAGCTACCGATCAGCGGCGGAATTTCCGTCCACCCGACCGGCGGCCGACAAACCTGCGGCCACCCGGGCTCACCGGTGGGCGTCCGCTCCTGTGCAGCTTGGCCTTTTTTGCTTGTTGCGAGACTGTTTTTATCAGAAAGAAAACGTTGTGGTGTTGCGGTTTTGCAATCGGAGAAAGTCTGCGAAGTTGCAGCGATGGGTAGCGATTTGCAGGATTAAAAAATCCTTGCTAGCCACATTTTCTATTCGACGCACGATACCCTTGTCTTGATAACAAATTAAGATCCATTTTCATGTCAGATTGAAAGGTTGAAGTAACCTGCAGAAAATTAATGTACTTTGCTGATGTATGGCTGTGATAGCCTTATTCAATACCGACCCCAATGAAAAGTAGGCACGGAAATGCGGAGTTCAGCCCGAATGTTTATGTTAATCCCACGGACGATAAATGCCCGATCTCAAGCGGACCTCCGTGATGCCGTGGACAGCGGGCGAACTTGCATTTTGCTTGCCTTCGGACGCTTTTAGATTAAATTAGACAGTTACATTATTTCTCCTCGGGGTCACTTTGATACTGCGGTAGATAGCTTGTTTCTAGACTTCGATGCACATCTATCATTCTTTAAGGCATTCGTTACCTACCTCATGTTATGCAGCAATTATTCACATGTTGAACGATGCCGCTTATTTTATTTTTTAACTTCTGTGCCACTTGCCAGGCTGGGGCCTTAGCGAACGGGCTGACGCGTCGTCTGGTTCAACTGGCTACAAGCCGATAACTGGTCGCTATTGCCATGCAGTCGGCGCCTAATGCCTGCAGTACGTCGTGTTCATGACACTGAGCGGACGTGAGGCCAAGTCTGAGCCGCGGCGGCCATCTCTTGCCGACCGAGTGGGTGTGTTTACGTTCCACTTGGGACCAACAGCGGGCCCGTAAATCGGCCATTGTCAGCGGCTGGTCGTGCCGGCGCTAATGGGACGCCCGTTATAAATAGGTGGGCCGGCGCGGCGGCGCTGTTTACGCCGTTTCTCACACTGCCGGCGCCGTGTGGGCCGGCCCCGGCGCGCTCACGATCAACAGCTCTGCGGCCGGCGGCGAGTGCCGGCCGCCGCAGCCGGCCGTTCGACGCCTCGTAACGGCGCCCCAAGCACCGCACGGCGGCCGGCCTCTGCCGACACAGCGAGTCTGCGCGCCCGGCGCTGACTCGGCGTGCAGCGCTCGGGGCGACCCCGCCCCGGGCCGGCGAGACGGCGGGCCAGCCGGCGGCGCTAACAAGCAGCTCTGTTTTGACACCGGCGGTGGCCCAAACACACCGCGCTCCGTGTATACTAACACCGGGCGCGCCGCGAGGGGCGGCGGCCGCCAACGACCCGGCCCGTCCGTCTGTCTGTCTGTCTGTCTGTCTGTCTGTCTGTTGTCCGTCTGTCTGTCTGTCTGTCTGTCTGTCAGTCTGCGTGCCTGCCTGTCTGTCTGTCGGTCTGGGTATCTGTATATCGATATGTCGGTCTACGTTAGACCTGGTGACAACTTATAAATGGCATATCGCTAGATTTCATGTTGATACGCTTGCGTGTCATCCGGCCGGTGACTGAGGTACCCAGGGGCCTCCCACGGTCACGGTCTGACCTGCATCCATACTCGTTTGATCGACCATCTAACGCTCCGTTTCTGTTCTGTCCGCAGCTGCAGCAGTTCAAGACGCTGATCGGCGCCAACTGCAGCCACCAGTTGCGGTTCTTCCTGTGCTCCATGTTCGTGCCGATGTGCTCGGAGAAGGTCAGCGACCCGATCCCCAGCTGCCAGTCGGTGTGTTTCGAGGTGCGCGACAGCTGCCGGCCGGTGCTGCGCACATTCAGTCTCGACTGGCCGGCCGTGCTCAACTGCTCGCGGCTGCCGGTGGCCGGCGGCCTCTGCATGGACCCCAGCGGCGCCGAGCCGGGCTCTGGCGCGCCGCCGCCGCCGGCCGGCCGCCAGCCGGCGCTGCGGCCCGGTCTCGATACGCACCTCTCGATCGCCGCCAAGTACCCGCACCTGCTGCCCGACCTGCTGAAGGGCGCGGGTGTGTCGGCGGCGGCAGCCGGGCCGGCCGCCGTGCCGCCGCCGCCGCCGCTGGTCTGCCCGCCGCGCTACGTGCACCGGCAGGGGCCGCGGCAGGCCGAGTGCGCGCCCGCCTGCGGCGCCGAGGTGCTGTTCACCGCGGCCGACCGGCGGCTGGCGGAGCTCTGGATGACCGTCTGGGCGACGCTGTGCTTCCTCTCCACGCTGTTCACGGTGCTGACGTTCTGGATTGACACGGCGCGCTTCCAGTACCCGGAGCGGCCCATCGTGTTCATCAGCATGTGCTACAACATCTACTCGCTGGGCTACCTGCTGCGGATGGCGCTGGGCGCCGACCACGTGGTGTGCGCGCTGACGCCGGCCGGCCAGCGGGCGCTGATTGCCGACGGGCTGGACAGCGCCGGCTGCATCGTCACCTTCCTGCTGCTCTACTACTTCGGGCTGGCGTCCACGCTGTGGTGGGTGGTGCTCACCTTCACCTGGTTCCTCAGCGCCGGCCGCAAGTGGAGCTCGGAGGCCGTGCAGCGCTACGCCACGCACCTGCACGCCGTGGCGTGGGGCGTGCCGGCCGTGCTCACCGTCATCGCCATCACCGTGCAGACCATCTCGGGCGGTGAGCTGACCGGACTGTGCTACGTGTCGCGGCGGCCGCTGCCGCTGGCCGGCCTGGTGATCGCGCCGCTGGCCGCCGCCCTGCTCACCGGCGCCTTCTTCCTGGCACTCGGACACGCCTCGCTGGTACGCATCCGCCGGCGCATGCGCAGCGAGGGCACCAACACGCACAAGCTGCACACGCTGATGGTGCGCAACGGCGTGTACGGCCTGGCGTACATGGCGCCGGCCGCCGGCGTGGTCATCTGCTACGTGTACGAGTACGTGCACTGGGAGCGCTGGGAGGCGGCGGCGCGCGCGGACGCGGCCCGCTGCCCGGCCGGCGCAGCGGCCGCCGACTGTCCGCTGGAGGCCAGCGTGCCGCCCGTCTCCGTGTTCCTGGTGAAGCTCTTCATGTCGCTGATTGCCGGCGTCATGAGCGGCATGTGGGTGTGGACCTCCAAGACAGTCACCAGCTGGCAGAGGTTCTTCTCGGGGCTCTGCTGCCGCCGTCGGCACGGCACCAAGAGCCCCAGCTACGCGCCGGCGCCGGCCGCCCAGCCGCTGGTGAGTGCGCGGCCCACCCGGCCCGCCGAGCCGCTGCCCAGCAGGCACGGACGATCCGTCGGACAGATCTCCCGCGTGTGACGCGCCTCCGTGACGGTGTGACGCGCCTCCGTGACAGTGGGACGCGTCACCACACGGCCCAGATACTGGCGTGCTCCCCGAGACTGGACTCTGTCAGAGAGCCTACTCAGTGTGGTGGACCGTTTTTGTGAAACTGCCACGTTGGACCCTCACTGCGGACGCGTGACGGTTTACGTGACGCGTGACAGACGTAAGTAACAAGTGGCGATACAACGAGAGCCAGTGTAAGGCCCGGTCACACGGAGTCGGCTCCTAAACCCATGTCACCTCGCTTCCGCTCCGCGTCGTTCCTTGTTTGTGGAAGGGTGTGTGTATTGTGCCGTGTATTGCGCCCTGTTGTGTTCGTTTCATCAGAGCTCACCTCTTACTGTTTATTACCTTACCTGTTCGTTCCCGTTCGGTGCTCGATGTTCCGTTGCGGCGGGGAGGCTCACCGCCGCCGTTCATGCATGCTGAGTGAAGCAGCGTGCGCAGTCACCTTAGCCAGACGTCCGCGGACACTGTGCCAAGAGTATATGTTTGCAATGTTGTATTTGTACAATGCCGGTGGTCGCCGGAGCGAGGCGGCCGGCGTGCCGTTCGGCCGCGGGCTGCCGCGAGCTGTTTGCACCCAGCACGGCTCGGGTCGGCCCGCACAGCGCAGCTGCACGGCTGACTCACAACGTGACGCAGCAGTCCGTGTGTGTCGGCAGATTGCTTTCACGTGCGTGGTGTGTAGGCGGCCCACACAGAGACACTGCCGGCCACCACGGCCGGCGGCGCCGTGCGTTCTCTGACGTTCGTCCTGCCCACCCGGGCCCTTTGCGTTTGTGCTGGAAGACGCTTTATTTATTTTGGCCGTGGTCAGCCGCCGCTGACGGCCGACTCGTTGGTGTTGTTGCACTGAGCTGAACATGTTGTATATCATTCGTCTTAAACTGTGAAATACAGACTCACATGACACTCGTGGTTGCGAAGTGGAAATCAGGGGCGGCGCCGACTGAGCTAAGGTGCGGACTCTCCGGGTGTTGCGGGATGGTTCTCAGCCTCCTGATGCCGAACTGATGGTAGGCACTAGAGTTGCAAAGTTTTCCCAATGGGCTGCTACCGGCACCGCCCCGCCCCACAAACATTTTCTGGGATACCGGCATGCTACCACGCCCCAAGCAAAAAAAACCGCCAAATTACCGGCATACTAAAAAACCTGCATTCTTGATTCTGGCTTACCCCTACATGAGATGCCACATTTTGGCAATTTCAGTAACCGCCCCACCCAACAGCCACCCATTGTCCAACTTATTACAATTCAATAGCCTCTTAGTGTCCAAAGTTTGAATCATATGCTGATAAATTTTTGTGCAAAATCAAAAATACCGGCATGCTACCGGCAAGACATGCCAGATACCACGAAAAAACCTGCGGTAGTGAAAAATTACCGGCATGCCGGTAGTGCGGTAGGGAAATTTTGCAACTCTAGTAGGCACCAAATCGAACTTGCGTCATTAAATTCTAGACAGGATAGCAGGCCACGGGCCTTTCTCCCTCCGACCGTTCACCACTGATCCCACCACCATAAGGCATACACACACGACCTGCGTTTTCACCCTAGGGCCGACCGGACCGGGATCATCGTCCGACTGATTCCTGCGGCGGTGGGACGAGCGGGGTCCAACAGTACATATACTGCCATAGTCACCGTGATACTGCCCACCTGCCAACGCTGGTCCAGGAGGGAGGCAAGGAGAGAAGAGAAGAGAGCGAGAGAGTGAGGGGGAGGCGGTATAGTCTCCGGCAGAGCCGACCGATCCGTCGCAGATTCTCGCCGCCGGCGTCGGTCGGCCGGAGCCAACCCTTTCAGCCGTGCCATATACACTCCGACAATGTGGCAGGCTCGTTACCATGCACTATGCGGCCCGGGATATTGGCCATAAGTTACAGGCACCGGCCGTTGTTATAGGAGAGTAACGACGAAAGGCAGGGCCGGACCCCATCACCGATAAAGCTCCGAAGCACGATACCAACTAGATCATGGGGGTGTATGCACTTTGCATCCGACGGAGATATTGAAGCACACTTGCATGCGGCGGTATGTTGCAAGCTAATGTCGATATTGGCCCCGCAGGTCAAGGCTGCTGGATGGATGGTGATCGTAACCACACGAAAGACGTGTTCTGATTTCAGCAGCGAATAAGTACCGTTTCACAATTCACCTTTCACACTACACGTATGCAGATACACCCACCTAAATGCACACACATCATTTGCATAATGTATTATACAACCGACTTCATTCATGTGAACGTATTCTTACAGCCATAACGTTGCATTGTCACATGCCCGTCCCAATTTTGTCAGAACCCCACTAGCTAACCCTACCGCACCATTCCGTGTCGCGGCCCATTCCCGACACTCGCCGGGGTCGGCCGGGTCAAACGGGCCCGTGTCAGGTCACCGACACCGCTCAGTGACACACAGCCGGGGCGCTGACACCGCCGGCGGCCCGGGCCGGCGGCGCCGTAAATAATTTACCGGCGGCGACGGCTGAGACCCTCCTGTTTACACGCTGTTAACAAGCCGCGAATATGCAGACGGTTATCAGTCGCTGCATACATTCATGAGAAGACAAGAACGGCCGCTTTGTGTGGGACAGGTGTGGGCAGGAGGGGGCGCGGAGGGGGGGGGGGCGGTTATCGGGTCCGGAGAGTGTCAAGACGGGATGATACGAGCCGTCCGAGGTGACAAAAGAGAAGAGCGGGTCGGCGTCAGAGCGTTACGTTACGTCATCCTGGGTCATCAGGTCACATTACGTCACACACGTGTCACATCATCACTCACAGTTAGCTCCACCCACAACCCAGCTCAGGGTGCCGTTCATCTCAAACATAGGCTTCGTCACACGGACCGCACACATCAGACGCGCGACACACCACCCGAGGCGTTAGTCGACCAACTCGTCAGCCAACACTCACGTCATATGGTTACCGCCCCGACGTCACTGATGTCGCTATCGTCACTGACATCAGCGGCTGACGCACCGGCGAGCGAGGTCCGGACGATTGCGATGAGGTCACCCAGAGCTGTCCGAGCAGGTCAAGGTGTTCACACGGCTCTCGGCTCCATCCAGAACGTTACTATTTCGTCGTCTTTCCCTGACCTCCGTTGTTATTTATCTCCCATCCGTGATCTGTTTTTTTATCGTTTATCACCGATCGTTTCTGTCATCTTTAGTCGTTTTATTCTAGCCTCCCTCACTGACCGATTCGTGGCTGGTCTTTCGCCGATCGTCTTGAGTTTATCGCTAGTTATTTCTCAGTTTCGTCTACCATCAGACGTGTGATGATATCACCAAAACACACGGACGGTAAAGGTGCGATCGACCTCACTCCATTTCCGACCGACTCATCCCACCGCTGACACCGGCACCGCCTCGGGCCTGGACCGCCCCGAACTAGTGGTCACCAGACTCAGAGCAGCGAAACCGACACTTCAGTCGCAATAGTCCGATACGCTCAGCCAGTCGACACAAACCAAACTATCTTCCAGACTCCAGTTGCGTCTGCATTTCGCCAATGTAACTCATCAGGCTACCTGAGCATATCCCCCTGTCTCGTCCGTTTCGCCAGTTGCCCGCCGTAGCTGCGCCCGTCGGTGCGTTTCGCTCCCGGCGGCGGCTGTCCCTGCCAAATGGGCGCTCGACTTCAAAGGGGCGCGGGGCGGTCGGCGCGTCAAACAGGGCTGCCGGCGGCGGATCGGTGGTGGGAGCGCGGCGCGCAGCCGGCACCTGTCACTCACACCGGCCGTCCCTCCGCGGGAGGGGAGCCACAAACAGGGGAGACGAGCCGCGAACCGCCCGGCGCACGGGGGCGGGCGGTGAGCCACAAACAGCCGGCGGGCGGTGTCACAAACACAGCACAGCGAGAGCCGTCACAGACACCGCCGACTGGCGGCTAATCGCAAAAACAGCGGCGCGAGCTGCGGCGCGATCAACACACCAAATCAGCGAAAAGGGAAAATCACAAACACAAGCTATTGTAGAGCAGGGCGCTGATAAGTGTAGCCGACCAGCATCTGCCGCCACCCGCCACAAGCCAAAAACGAGCGATGAAAGCCAGTAATACTGTTGCACAAAACTGCAGTGCGACATTTATTCCCAACTGCTTGCCATCGCTAATCACTCGCCCCTCCCGGCCGCCCCTGTCGCAGTACCTAGTTTGAGTGCGGCGCCGACGCCCCGCCCGTTCCGTCCTCCTTCCCAGTACCGCCGACCGTCCCACCAGCGCGCACCCGCACCACTCCAACACGCGCGCGGCTCCGGACCGATACCGCGAGCCGTGCTCGGGGCGCCGATAAGCGCAAAGGCGCCGCCGCTGACCGGCAGTCGACGCTGTTGACCGAGCAATAAATTATACGAGCGGCCGGATAAGATGCCCAGTGTAATTGCCGGATAAGCGGCTATCTCTCGCGCGCGCTGAGTGGCGCCGCGTCGGCCGGCGCGCGCGCACTGCGCACCCAGCCCAGGGCGGAGGGAGGTGGGGATCCCGGGGAGGGAGGGTGGCGGGTCGGTGTGTCTGATGTAGCGGCTAGGCGGCCCACCGCGCTGTGCTTTATCGCACCTTGGGGCGGCAGCATGGGAGTTGGGTGGTATAACGCGGGACAGTATTAAAGGTGCAAAGCCGCACGGCCGGTTATAGTGGTGGGTAGCGGCCATCTCGACGTGTGGCTTACTGCGTGTTCTGGGCTGTCGCATCGGGCGTAATTAATCTCAAACGGCTTTAAAAATGCTACGCTCAGTCTCGACCTCACACAGTCTGCGTGGTATCATGTTGTACCCCTACTTATTATGTAACACGTTCCAGCGAAATTCACGACTGAAATTGCGCCGTCCCGGGACGGTTTAACAAACCTGTGTGATAAATAGCTTTAGATAAGTGTTGGTCATGCACGTTATACACGCCCCGTGACACAGCTTCTAGAGCTGGCCGCATGTGAATAACAGCCTTCCAAGCTGCAAATGACACTCGCAAACGTGGTATAATCAGGCTTGCATTCAACGCTGAGACGGTTGAGGCATATCAATGTTTCGCTTCGCAATCGTTTCATATCGCAGTGCCGCTAAAACGGTCCCACGAATCACGATGAAGCAGCTGCCGGTCAGTGCTCCATTCATGTCTCCGTCCCGGTACGGTCAATAAAACCGGCGGCAATACACAGCGGCAAAGTGCCTTTTAGACTGTTTGCCGACCTGTTGAGATTATGCGCCTATCTCGGGGCGCTGGGGCGCCGTGTGACGACGCCCCAGCTCCGTACAAGATGTTGACTAACGACCTCGGTAACGAGCTGACCGAACAGAGGGTGCCTTCACGGCCGGCACAGAGGCCCGCTGTCGGCCGCCGGCGCCGTGTCGCCGCCGCCGGAAGCACCGTCGAGCGGCGACAACTGGGTGCCGGCTGCGGCGCCGCTGCGGCGACACTCCGCGCACACAGCTGCCGTACGCGGGCGGCGCACATGTGTCCTGCGGCTGATCTGAGGGCGCGCCGCGACTCCCCGGCCGCCCTGTGAAGGCCTCCGCCCTCCCGCGCCGTCCCGTCCCGCGGCGCCGCCGGTCCGAGCGGGTCCATTACGGCTGACGGCCCGGCCCGCGGGCGGCGCGGCGCGGCACCTTTCAGAGCGGCGCGCCGGCCGGGTCGCCGGGTGAAGGGCTCGCCGCCATCAGCCGCTCGGCGGGTGGGCCGCACCGCGCCGCCCGCCGAAATGCGTCCGCCGCGCGCACAATGGCCCCGGCTCTTAGCCAGGCTTGTAAAGTGGCGGAATCATCGCCCCGAATGGCCGGCCGATTCAGCGCGGCCTTGTCGGCAGCGCGGCGACTGTGGCGCTCACCCGGACCGAGCGGTGAACGAGTCCGCCTGTTGTCCGCGCTCATGGGGAGCCGAGGGTCGGCGGGGCAGGTCTATGGGTCGATTTCG